ATATTTTGCCTTATTTATTAAATGCTCATGTTGACTTGTAACTGAGATTTTGTTGTCAGCCTATTGCTTCCTGTGCTGTCCTGTATCTGTTTTGAGTCATCACCTCAACCCATCAAAGCATTTTTGAATACCGACTCGTGACACCACGAATCGCCCCTGAAGATAAAATTCTATCGTATACTCTCACCAGTGGGGTCCCAGAGCTAGCTGGCCCTACACCAACAGCAGAGGAAAGAAACGAGAGGTGCGACACGTTCACTGCGAGAATCACAGGTTATGCGTGAAATCCAATGTAAAAACAGGACAAACAAAGGTCATAGCGTCGTAGTCGCGTCAAACATCGCGTGGGATTCGACAAACGCGAAAGTATTTTCGGGGACATTTTTATGCTTAATAATGTGCTGTCCACATTTTATGATTAAGTAAGGGGATTCGGAAGCAATATTCCCCTGTCGAAGATCGGTTTAATAGTCGATTTTTGCGGCAGACGTTCGACGTGCATCTTTCATGCATCTCGCGAGATCTCGCAATTGTACGAAAAATCCCCTATTTGTCGTGTACTTTATAGTAGATCTGTTAATGTATAAATACCATGTGGTACTGCTTTAATTTTAAATGAGATACAAATTTTAGCGAAGTTTGGGAGTCAGTGAAAATTTCCTGGGGACACAGTGTGAGTGACTTTTGCAAAACTGTTTCTTCATGAATGCCATTAAATTCTGAGTAACAGTACATTTACTCACCTGCACCAGTAATGACCTTGCTTCAGGTGATACATGGTCTGGTATGTTCAGTTGTGTGTGAGAATTAATACCACTTAGATGGCAGGCATATAACGACTAGAAGCAAACAATAGAAACAATCAGATAATTGTAATAATACACATCAACAAATTGATCTGAAATGAGACCACCAATCTATGTAGAGCAGTTCCCAATATTGAAAATAAGTTAAAAATATCACTTTTCGCTCAAAAAAAAAACTAAAAAAAGGTCAGATACATGTATTATTCTTACAAAAACTGGCCCATGCATTAGTTGAACACACAAAATTTGGTTTGGAAGACTGGTTCACCCTTGGGTTTAGCACAAAAAATAGTCAAAGCAAGAAAGCAGAGGCTTAAAAAAAAGTCACACCTCTAGCACAAGTACCGGGGGGGGGGGGGGTACACTAAAACCAAAAATTACATTTATTTCACGATGTTTTTTGACCACACGCATTTACCATTTAAACACATGTGCTACATAAAAACATGAAGATAAAATCATAACTGATACCAACCTTTCCAATCAACATTTCAAACAACAAAGCACCAAGACTCCACCAGTCACAGGCTGGTGTTAAGGGAAAGATACCAGACACTTCCGGTGCAGCGTACAGTAGTTCAATGGCACATGGATCAAGAGAAGGTTCCACCCACTTCCACTCACTGAAGTAACTTATCCTGATATGTCCTCGTTCAGCTAACAGAATGTTATCTGGTCGCAGATCTCTGAAAAGACAAAGTTCTACTTGATAGTGTGTCCACAACAGTCGTAACAGGTCTAAAGGTTTTAGGGTACTGTGGGCACTGTGGGCACTCTCCTTTTACAATGTGATAAAATATTAAGATAAAAATTTATCTAACCATAATAATCTATACACGTTAACAAATAATTAATCACAATATTTTTTCAGTTTTCGTTTAGCAAATTTAAACCACTTTGAACAATTTTTCCAGAAATCTATAATTTCTGTGTGAATTTTCAACTAACGACAGAATGTGTGACAAAACTTGTATTGACTTGCCAACACTGGAGAAGGGTTAGTAAACATCATCATCACCAAGATGTTAAATGTCCTCAAAATAGACAGTTTCACAGGTATCAGTATTATAATATTGTAGAATACTTTATTTTTGCTTGGAATTAATTTTTGCTATTTTTGCTTAAGGAATGATTCAGTGAAAATAAAATCCCAGCGAATATTCCTTTTTTCCTATACTTTACATTTAACTCGTCAAAAAGCAGTGAAAATAAATTCCATACAAAACAGCCAAAAAGTCTTTTCAGCGAAAATTAATTCCAAATTAAATTAATTTTACAGTAGTTGACCCAGCTGATCACTCACTCTGAATGTATCAGTCCACCTTTTCAAATCCAGCTGGCTTTGACTAAAATTCTATTTTCTTGTTTTAGTATCATCTCTTGCAAAAGAGGATTACATTTATGAATGACTATGCGACTCTAATGTGTATTCTAATTGTGGTGTGAAACTTATAATCTGTTCATACTTACTTGCAGAGTATATCCATACTATGCAACAATGATAGAGCTGTGACAATTTCAGCCGCCCACATCCTAACACAAGATTCAGGTAGCGTCATGTGTTTAGTAGTCTTGGCCGCAACATCTAACTGAGCAAACAAGGCAGATAATGATCTGTTTCTACAACCATCTGCAGAAACAGATTTTTTCATAGAATTATTTTTTCTATCCTCTGTACTCTGAGTGTGAGATTTCAGTGTCTTATCACTGCCTGGCCTCCTCTGTAGAGAAGGGTTATTATCAGCCTCTTTTGAAGATTTCCCCGTAATAAGATTTTGTAAATTAGAAGATGATGCTCTAGAGATGAGATCTTTAATTCCTTGCATCATTCCCTCGCCGATGCCCATTGGTCTGGGACTAGTTCTTACAGAAGGAGAGTTTTCAGTCTCTGGTGTCAATTCATGTTTATTGCTTGGAAGCAGGGCGCTTGGTGAATGTATTGGACTAGAAGTTTCTGAACCGGGAAATTCTTTGATAACATTTACTGATGTTTTATTACCATCAGAATCCTCATCAATACTCACCATTGTAGTAACTGGAGGTGGATGCGAACCCACTTCTGCTATAGAGAAATTCGATTCAACATTTGGGTCTTTCTCACCAATCAATGGATTCACAATTATGTTTAAATCCCTGTCTCCTGTAGGTACATTTGGTAGAATATTATTAAGCACAGAATTATCAGCAGAATTTTCTTGTGCATCAGCCATCTGAGGGATTTCAACTTTATTACTTTCATAATCATTTGACCTATCCAATTCATCATCATCATCATCATCATCATCATCATCATCATCACCCACTATAAACGATAAATCTGAAGTTTTCTTGCCACGTATTTTCTCTTCATCAATGTCATTGTCACTTTGCTTCCCTACATCACTATCATTCTTGCACTTTACAGAGCCATGTTCATGCACTACATTCTCTGATTCATTAATAGCATTAGAATTAATCACTTCATTAGTAGGTTCCTGTTTAGTGAGATCTTCTGGTTCTTTGTGAATCTCCTGATTATCTGAGGTACAAAATGAGTCAAAGTCCTCTTCAATGGATTCCTCTGTGACTGTCGTTATTATGGGTGTGCTTCCCGATGTCAGTATTCCACTGTCTTGCTCAGAACCAAAACTGAACACCATTCTAGGAGATTCCAAAGGTAAGTAATCATTAGGGCTCTCAATACTATCAATACTAAATAGATTAATTGAAGGCTCTTTGTCTTTGATATCATGTGCAATGGATGAGAAATCCATTTCAGATTCCGGTGTACTTTTAGTAATTGGTTTTTCAGGAGTAGAGGGTACTGGATCCCCATCATCAAACAATTCTGTATCATATTGACTGCTGACTTTAATTAAGTCAGTAATTGGATCTGGAGTGTCATCAATTTCATCTAAATCGTTATTCAGTTTATGTCCTTCATCTTCAATCACAGTATTGTAATTTTGAAATAAGTCAACATAGCTACTGACAGGTTCCGCTGGAGCTATCAAATCAGGATCATTCGGTGGGGACTCTTTAACATGATTTCTTTCATCAGCACTGTCCACCTTATTCTCGAATTCTGGAATAACCTGCAAGATCTGAGATTCTACCTCATCAAGTTGCGAGCTGTCAGAGTTTAGTGGACTCTCAGTTGAACTATCAAACACATCGTTGTCTATTGCAGTGTCCACAATGCCTCGAAGATCTTTACTGCTAGATGTACTATTTCCTCTGGATCGTCTGGATCCTTTACTTCCCACACTTCTTTCCAAACTATTGGCAAGCGGGGCCTTCTCTTCTTCACTGTGGAAATAAGCAGCAGCATAGGTCCACAATTTTCCTCCAGTTGCATGTTCCAAGACGAGGTATATGGATGTTTCCGTTTCATAGTATTTATGAAGATGTACCATGTACGGGCAGTTGGTTGGTATTTTATTGGCTCTACTTTGGCTGGGCATGGCACACTTATGTAAAACCTGCAAACAAAATTGAACATTCAGATTTTATCTGAACTGTATTTATCTCTAAGAATGCATTGCACGTAAATACATCAAAGTCTGTGTACATGATTGACACATGCACATAATTCATTCATTTATTTATTTATGTCTAGAATGTACATGTACATTTGTAAACCAATTTTAATTAGTGAGAAACAAATTCTTACATATTTTACAAGTTAAGAGAAAATTACCAAACTCGTTAGCATGAACATTTCACCAGGGTCTCTAAAAACTGATGAAGAATTTATAATAACATTATAATAACAATAGACCAGGTAACAAAATAGGCGGAGGGGGGGGGGGGGGGGCAATGGTTATAGAATGTCCCTAGAGCTCCACTTGTCCACCCTACATACCTTATTACATCCATATCAATTATTTTCTGAATGTTCATCTCATTACTGTGTTCTTTTTTCTTTTTTTTTTTTACACATTCAGTTCTCAACAGTGCAATCAGTTTTCCACCCTTCTTTCTCATAATTCCTCTCCCATCCTATATTGTAATCTATCTTGCCTAGTTTTGACTTCCCAAAAAAAGTGTCTGAGATGCCGATTTCTTTGACTGGCTTATAAGCCTGTAAAGGATCTGCACTATTCAAGCCTAGCTAGTGTCAACAGCTTCCATCAAGTCCCTGTCAAATAATGGTCCCAAATTGGATATGTGACTATTAATATTATAGCTGTGATTTTATTCTACATTTCAGTCAATTACACCAATCAACAAAGATTATCTTGCAAGCAAGTCGCCTGAAAACGGCCATGAAATTTATACTCTCAATAAAGGATATGAATGAATGAATGAATGAATGAATGAATGAATGAATGAATGAATGAATGAATGAATGAATGAAATTTATTTCACCAAAAACAAAACAACATTAAAGATAGAAATTGTACAGGTAGTACCGGTATATATAAATAAATAAATAAATAAATAACAAAATATATTTCTTACCTTAACAATAAATGTACAATAGGATGCCATATCCAAAACTAACATGACATTATCAATGACTCCAAGAACTTTATGACTTTTCAATTCTTCAATAGCACCTCTAAGATAAGCTGTACCAGGATCAAACTCTATAGGAATAGACTGGCTCTGTAATGAAAACATAGAACATTAATTATTACAATGATTCCTATTGACTTAAATCATGGTAGATATGAAGACAAACTATAAAAACTGCCATGTGATATTAAATCATCATTCATTTCGTGGTGAATAAGGGTTTGACCATTAAAAACTTTGGGAGGGGAGATGGTTAGAAAAGTACAACCCCTAAGAGGCTGAATATTTTTTTTTCCATAGTGAAAGACTGTACTGATAAGATAATATATATATGTACATACCTCCCATCGTTTAGCATATGCGGCCTCAGCTGATAAATTTTTGTTATAAATATCCTCAGCTTTCATCAGATAGTGTGCAGTTTTGCGTCTCACAGCTTCTCTTCTGGATTTGTTACTATCAACTAACAAGTAAAGTAAGATAATGAAGATCAAATGCAATCTGAATTAGTGGTCATAAATTATTTCCCAAAATATATGGTATATAATATATTATTATTTATTTAACAGATAAGATAAAATTCCAGAACCTTTTTTTGATCAGTTTTCTAGGACTATTTTTTCACAACTTTGGTAATTTCTTGTTTACTGTTGTTGTGAACGTGAGAATTAAAGTGGCTAGTAATGACGAAGCTGGGTTTTTACGCTAGCAACCCATTTCTGTACATTTTAATGGGATGATTTCCATAGACCACCTAGCAATCAGTAATGTTTTTTTATGCTGATTGTTGTTTCCAGAACTTTCGCTGTACAAAACCCTAACTGATGCTATAACTGCAAACAGCAGTGTTGAAAATGTTTTGAAACCCTGAGTATAGATAAAATGCAATTCATTATTGGTTACTGATAGGTAATAGGT